AACACCCACCGCTCCAACAGTCGGGATGGTTGCCACCTGTCGACAGTCCTCAAAGTCTCCAGTAGAATAGCAGCTCCGCAGCTACTCCGGCTGAGTCGGGTATCACGGCTGTTAGCCTACACACACTGCCACATGTTGCTGCCTCCCAGTATTTGGATAGAATAGAAATGATTGCACCTATTCAGGTCTTCAAGCCACATAAGGTGTCATGTATTCAACTCGATGCCCAACCCAGTACCATTGAGGTAAAAAAATGTTTGGGGGTAGAGGAACCAAATAAAAAACCCCGCAGCCATTCGGGCCCCGAAATGGGTATCTCAAAACCGCTGGCCATTCATGCCCAAACCGGAATCAATGTCGCCGCATTCCGTGATGGAGAAAAAACAGAAGGAAAGAAGAAAATAAGAAACACTCGTACCTCAGTAAGTCTTGACGGGTTTCGAGGTCTGTATCATTGTTGTTCGATGTCTTCCGGTGAATGAAGACACTTCACAGTCATCCAGCCTCTGGCGGCGTTAATGCCACAGATAGGTATCCGATCCCGCGCTCTCCGTTCGCATCACCGTCATACGATGGTCCGGAATAATGCAAGTAAGAATAAAAATGATAAGCAAACATAGCTCGCGGCCATACAGACCTCAAGTGTAGCGGCGCTTGGATCTCTTGCGCCCTATCTCAGCATCGCCGTTGCGTGCGCCTCCGACGGGAAGATAGCGGGGCTCATCCAGAGCTTCATGGGTACGGCAGCGCTGGGTATTCCACACCCGCGCGATGTCGCCGTCATTCGACGGTAATCCAGTGAGAGACTGTGCCCGTGGTCATTTATACCTCGGCATTCCACTCGCGTGCCCCCCGTTGGCGTCACCATCATTTGACGTGCCCAAGTAAAATATCGAGCCCGCAGCCATTCAGACCTCAATGGTTGTGGCGTTGCTCGGCATTCGCCCCAGCGCCCTGCGGCGTCACCGTTATTCAACGTGCACAAATGAAAGAACAAGTCCCCCGCAATTCAGGACCTAGTGGGTGCGGCACCACTGGGTATTCGACCCAGCCCCCTGCGGCGTCACCGTCATTCGACCATGAGTTCATCATCTGCTGAATCACAAATATTGTCAGGTTGAAGGCCTTCGATTTAGAGATTGGGGTCCTGTAAAATGAATGTCCATGCATCCAGTCATGATAGGGGAGCATTGGAGCATTCTGAATGTAGAATCCGGAATATAAGGGCGGGGAATATATTTGTGGGGCTTGTCTGGTGTGTCCAATCTGTTAGAATTTAAAGGCCTCCAATTTTTGTTTTGCTCTACTGTAAAAATAAAACCTCCATGAATCTGGCTGTTCAAAAATCATTGACCATGTAGTACCACAATCCAATATGACAATCACGCTCCCTTGAACCATCACGGGTGCTTGGCGCAATGGCTAGCGTGTTTGGCTGTAAGCGCGCCCTCCCCCTGCCCCTACGGGGCAGGGGGCCCTATGAGGGTATAGGGCCATCTTTGGGTCTCGGGGGAGCGCGGGTGTATCGGGGGGGGGGGGGGGGGGGGGGGTCGGATTGCGCTAGGAACCGGCGCACCGGAGGACATAGGGGCATCTGGGACATTTTGGTTTCAGGGGCGCGGGTGAATCGGGGGACCGGGTATTGCGCTAGGAACCGCCATCACACCCACATCCACGACGACGCCAGGCCATATCTCCGAAATATACCCGTCGATTGTACCTATCCTTTTGATTCAATTAGTAAACGAACGGATGCAGTGCCACTCTCAGACAATATCCCCGCCCTTGTATCCAGCAGCAATAGTCAGCCTTTCCCGGGCGTTTTATTCAGCAGATTCAGCATCAACGTGCAGACACCGTTACTCAGAAACTATCGCCATACCCCAGATACTTCAACCAGCCCTAGGGTGCAGGCACCGTTTCTAGACCATTCCCAGGGTATTTCCTCTAGCAGACAGTCCGGGGATTAACATTCAGCGTCAGACACCGCATCCTCACTCAGACAGCGTCTCCAGCCCCATTCCCTAGGCGCCGCATCCAGCCTCACCGCGCAGACAGCCCTTCGAGTACCTTTCCCTAGGACGCGTATCCAGCAGCAATTCGCAGAGACCGTCTTGCGGCAATGCATCCAGTGTCCACGCGCAGACACCATATTCTGACCCGTTAATATGACAGTGTATTCAGCTTAATTGCGCAGGCACCGCATCCTGTCTCACTGCCCAGACAACGCCTTGGTGAACTTTCTCCCAGCCTCGACTTTCAATCACTCTCGGGTCAGCCCATCCAGGTTCAGCGCAGAGACGCGCATCCTTACCCGTTATTCAGGTCCTGTCTCCAGCTTCATTGCCCAGACACCGCATTCAGCCTCACTGCAAAGACAGCGCATCGAGGACCTTTCTCCGGGGTGTATCTTCAGCACCAAGACACTGTCTCTGGTCAGTGCATACAGCGTCAACGCAGAACCGTCCCAAATATTCGCAGCAGCGATGCTCAGCTCCCAATCCGTGAATACAGACTAAATACTCTGACAGACATCGCATCCACAGGCTTTTGGGGAGGCCAATTAACCCAGTCAGCAAGCACAGAATACTATTACCGCAAGCCTGTGTCAGATTGTAACTACGACCGCTGCATCCCACACTCTCAACACCTCTGCCACGATGCAATCATATCATACGCACAGCGTCTCAACCACTCTCGGGTCAGCTCAGAGACGTGCATCTACATCTGTGACTCAGGCACCGTCTCCAGCGTCATTGCCCAGAAACTGTCTCGTGTAACCTAACCCTAGTCCACACAAAGACGGTGCATCCGTTGCAGCGACGATCAGCTCCGAATCAGTGAGTCCAGACAACTACTCTGACAAACACCGCATGCACAGCAGCCACTCAGCACACAATCAGCGAGTACAGAATAATGTTCCCGCAAGACTGCTCATTCTCGGCGACGACTGCTATACCCTCCATGCGTATTCAACAGTGTCAGCTGCATCCCATCAGCCCACTCTCAACAGCTCTGCCGCTTCAACGACGACCCTCCATCACATCGATCACACGCGAGGACGCTCATAACACGACCATTGAAGGCCACGATGAAACATCAACCACTGGGACATGACGCCCTCGACCACTGCGACCACACTGGACCTCGTACGTCGAGTCATCCCAATTACGATGACCAACAGCCGTACTAGTACCACAACTACCCACTGTTTTTCAGCGGAGCGAAGCAGGATCAACCAACACGAATTGACCAACTGTGTTTGAGCGCAGCGAAGTACAGGCGGCCCTCTCAACTGTTCTCAACTGTTTTTGACCGGGGGGACGGCCGGGTCAACCAACATGAATAAAATTACCAAGTGTGTTTGGTACGGCAGGTCACCCAACGTGAATTTACCAACTGTATCTGAGCGCAGCGAATCCTCGGGCAGAGAACCGTAAATTTTAAAAAATCCACCAAGGCCGAATTTGAGTGTGACTTCACCGAAATTCAGCGGACTCACTCGACAGAGAAGATAATTGCCAAAAAATGCACCAAGTCGGAATTTTAGCGCAGCTTTGCGGAAAGTGCATTTTTGCACTAAGGCCGAATTCTGTTGCGACTTGTGATTTTTTCGTGGAACACTCGAAGACTTCCGCCCTCGTAAAATGCAAGTAGCTCGTGATTCCTCCCTTTGACCGCTTGCCGTCCTCGGATGACATTGACTCACCAATTCCACACTTGACCTTCATGACGTAGTATAGACTAAATTAAGACTCCAACCATTTCGTTTTCGTTTGGATATTGGCCCAAACTAAACGGAAACGGTAATAAACTGCTTAAAAACCGTTTAAACTGTTTTTAAACGGTATTTTGGCGGGTGTTCGATTACAGCTGTGCAGCGGCAATAAATGACAGGTATTATGGTTCCAAGCCAACTGAACACAAAGGGCCTGTGCATGACTTCGACCAGGACTCACAAATTTCACTGGTTGGCAGCGGCGCCGACCGCCATCAACCCCTGTCCAAATTGGGATACTTCCCGCTTCCCGGCGGTTGAACGCCGCTTGGTGAGTAGGTTCTTATTTTTGCATTGTGCTTGGATTTGACCATGAATACTGGTTTCTCCAGTCTCTTAACGAGTCTAACTCACTTGGCATAGTTATTGCAGGCCGTCGAAAATAGTGGGGGGTTTGCAACCGTTTAAACCGTTTATTTACCATCCATTTACTGTTTACGCAGGTCCACAAACTAAACGGAAAAAGAAACGGTTTTTACCGTTTAAAAGGTCTAAAAACGGAAATGGATGGAGCCTTAGACTAAATACTCTGACGGACACCGCATCCACACAGATATCCACGACACATGTATCAGGACCAACACAGATGCAGCGCGACTCTCAGACACTGTCGTATCCAGCAGCGATGCTCAGACACCGGGCCTTGTCCCCAGACTATGTCTCCAGACCCTTCTCTCGGGCGTTTTTTTCCAGCAGAGCGACGCTGGATTCAGCGTCAATGCTCAGAAACTGTCTCCAGCGTCATTCCTTGACTCGAACAAAATCCTGACTATGTCTTAGTCCCTCCCCTCCCACCTTCAACGGTCATCTCAATGCACAAATATAATCTTTACGGCGCCTTGTAAATAAAGCTCTCCGTCGTTTCTCCATACTCTCTACACATGTGACAGATGTATGTACTGGTGGACTTGGAGGATCCATATTTAGAGGGAGAGCACTCCAATACCATCCCGCACAATTTTGACACTACTTGAAAGCGCTAAACCCTTTCAACAGCCGAAATAACTCTGCTCAGCTAGGATCTGTTTGTCTCTGTGCAGATAAGGAAATATGCTGCTACCTCCACAGCACCGTGGATGACATACCCTTACCTCAATGGGCTCATGGCACATCCAACCCTCTCGGCCTTGCACACGATTGTTGCAGAATTTATTAAAAGACTTGGAGGGTTGGTATGTCCTCTCCTCCGCAATATCACAATCACGCTCCCTTGGTCCATCACGGGTGCTTGGCGCAATGGCTAGCGTGTTTGGCTTCGATGCCTTACGTAATATGTGGGCGACACGTGACCAAAAGGTTGCAGGTTCGAGTCCTGCAGTGCTCAGTTTTTTAATTGAATTACGACGTGTATTCTGTTTTATTTTTATTTTTATTTGCATCCAATTCTCTTCCCAAACCATACCAGCATCGGGGGATCTAGTTGCAGATTTTTTCACACTTGGAGTCTCCTAGTAGGAGCCACTCTTTCCATTTTCAACATCCCTGTATTTTGAGGATATGTCATTTTGTTTCTTTCGTCTTGGTGGTCCAACTAAAAACATTCAATTACCCTATTTTAGTTACTCTTTAGCTACGAGTCATGTGCTACATATCATGTGACATAATCATCACCATCGCCTCAGAGCCTACATTGTAGCCTTATTTGTTGAGACTCTCCTAGAAGGAGCATTCAGGCACTTGGGTATTAGGCGGCCTCCCTAAATAGCTTATACTATCCAAATCTCGCACTAACTTATGTTTTTAGTGTTTATATGACTTGCCACGTCATTGCCTCTACTCTCTACTCTATTGGAATATCCATAGAGTCTGAGCTCAGATATATTGGAGATTGGAATATCTTTCTCTAGTCTGTGTTTTTCAAGAGATTGGACCGTTGGATCAGGGTCTTCACCACAAACTGCTTGATGGTCTGCATACAACGAATCCCCTCCTGTAGACTCAAAACAAGTCTTTCACTTCCCAGCCACATACAAGCTCCATAGGCAATTCTAGGAGTCTGGGACCTTTAGATAACTACCGGTGATGTAATGTTTCAGCTCACCTCACCTTCAGCCACTGCATAATGTTGTGAATATTAATTGGAAGCAAACCGTCATCAGGCAGTAGGCAGCACAAATTGGTCAAGTTCTTGCAGAAGCTCCAGACAAGGTGGCTTGAGCCATGGACACATCCTACAATATTAGAACTCAATTGATATTCAATATTTGATTGTACCAGAGATTCACCGGCAGTTTACCGGAATCAATACCTTGTAGTACCTGGATGCATTGAAGTGCGATACAATTCTGTTTGTTGGCCCGCTGGTAGTGTTGTGATTCTTTCATCATGAACCTGCACAGAAGGTGGAGCTGACCTTTATCTCGCACTGGACATAAGATTGATCTCATGACATATCCGAGAAAACATGGATGAGTGGATAAAGGATGCGCATTCCTCAGTTGCATGGAAAATATGAGAGAGTCGTAGGAGTTTTGATAAGACTTCTTCTCACTCTGGGGCTGGCAAAATAGGGCCCAGAGTCTGGTCTGAGTCAATGAAGTCACCCATGAAGATATAATCTTCCCAGAGCCGTGCAACTGGAATAAATTCTCTGCCAAACATGAGATCCACAAGCAGCGCTGAGAAATTAAAGCCCTACTTGGAACCGATCAATGATTGTCTTTGACTCTGCAACATTATTGACAAGACCAGAGAATGGAAAAACTGGGTTTACAAGTCGAATGAGGGTCAGAAGTTCCGCCGTGGGCAGAATCGATGAGCCAAGAAAATCAAACCACTTCCAAGAGATATGCCTCGTGAATATGTAAAGGATGCATCAGATTTGACACACTCACCATGCAACATGCCCCCTTGGGCGATACCATGCGAAACAGTTCACCTCTGCATCATCATTTTTACATGAGAGAGCCGTTAAGATGAATCGGGCCAGCGTCATACATGGTTTCAGGCTGCCAACATGAACTTCCCTGAACGTATTAATATTGAATAGCAGACAAGGCCTCCGAATGATGCATGTTGCCAGCTGAGGTCATTCCAACCATCCTCAGTGTTCCGGTACTTCAGAATAGAATGTAGGCCTCTGAGAGACAATAATGTATCCCCGGCTTCGAGTTCGAGTCAATCCAGCAGGAAAAAGTACCCCGGAAAGTAGGAAATGACACGAAGGATGTCGAGAATTTTACTGTTCCTTGGGACAGAATTGAGGATCAGAGCAGAGAGCTCGTCTAGGGCACCGAAGGCGAGTCAGAATCTGGTTGAGCATGGGTTCCGAGGTCCACCGCTAGGCGTTCTGTGGGGCGGAAGTTTGCCTCATCCATGAACTTGATGATTGTCGAAACATAAATGAAATGACCGGAAGAAGTGTCCACAAGAGTTTCGAGTTCTTCATCAGCTGGCCATGGACCGGGAATGCTCGCCATGGTCTGTGATGAATTCTGGCGAACTCAGATATTTTTACACATCCTCGAATGACTTCTGGACATTTGAAAGGTTGGTAGCCACCACCGTGATTCATCTCACTGATATGTGCTTCCGATCTGCTGGCAATCACAATTGGAGCTTGATGCTGTAGGCGGGAATTGCACAAGACGTGTAATATTTCTTGCTGCATTTTATGCCCCTGCACTCATCCAGCCCGTCAATGATGATGATCACGTACTGGTTATCTGTGATGGATTGACAAGGTTCTAGAATAAGCCGCTGGCACTGGGCTTGTGGTGTGCCAGCAACAATGGAAGGATCATTTCCCACGACCTTGAAATGGGACTCTTTAGCTGGGGAGTCCGCAGGGTGAGTCGGTGTGCGATGGTGGAAAATAGAGAGCTTGCGCAACAGCCACCGAGGTCGGGTGGTACTTACATCTGGCGTTAAGTGCTAAGTGAGCAAAAGCCATCTTCGTTTATAAAATTACGTGCCGAAAGTTTTCAAACTCAGTGATCAATCGGTTCGTCGGATCTGATTGCCGTATCTTCGGCAAACTAGCGGTAGTGCGCGGATCATTTATCCGGTTGATCCTGGTACCGAATTAGGGACTAGGTCTCATATCGACAATTACCTCATGTCCGTGATTTACTTGCGGCATTATGTCCGTCTGTCGCTCTGTCAAATTCTGTGTCCCCACTGATCTTGTATTTTTTCCCAGCTACAGAATTTGATTATTGAATTTAGGGCTTACCCCAGGGCAGACGGGCTCGGGCAAGAGCCGCCTCCAATTGGGTCGGAAACTGGAACCTCGGGCTGTTGGCAGAACATCATCTCGAGCTCACCCAACTGGTGCCACCCATTCCGAACTTCCGTAACAGGTTATGTATAACAGTAGTTCCTCCAAAATCTGTATGTAATATTTATTATGATGAAATTCAATTCTTCAGCTCGAAAGCAGTCTATTTTTTCCAGAGGTCTCAATGCCTCTCTGAGGCCTGAGGTACCGGGTATGCCCGAAGGGCCTTTTGAATATCCAGAACGCCTCAAAATTAACGCAACCCTATCGGTAAGCGGCCCATTCGACTATGTACAGCGTCGAAAATGACAAAATTGAACAGCGGCAAGACTCCCGTGATAATTAAAAATGTCTGTTCGATCCTGTAGCTAATAAATAATCAAAACCATCCTTCATCTACTTGCTCTGGACCAGAATGGTCGCCTCTAGAGCCCGAGCTTGGAGGTCATCGGGTAGTACGTCGTCGGGCCGCCGTTTGCTGCGCGGTTCTTACGATGCCCGAGAAACACCGTGCCGCCTCCCAGGAGGATCAAGATCATGGACACGAACGTCAACCAGATTGCTGGGGGCAAAGATCGTCAGGAGAGCCAACACAAATATGGCGGTGACGCACCGGAGCTGGGGATAACGGTGAAATGGACCGAAGAGCTTTCGGCGATGAAGTGATTCACGTTGGCGTAAAACACGATGTTGATGATAAATGCGATGAACGTCTTTAAGAAATGATGTTGATAGACTATTGAGTAGCAGTCAACTAAGGACTGACGAAGAATGCCGCGACGAGTGAAGCCAATGAAGCGAGGATCGGCCCCTTTTCATGTTTCAAGCAGGCGAGCGCGAGCGCAACGGCGTTGAGGCATAGGACTAGTGATTGAAAATGAGCGCTGTCGGTGGTAATCGCCATAGGTCGCTCACTGAGAGGTTGAATTGCAAGTCCACGAGACCAGGATCGGGTCTCCTCTATCTCATTGATTGCGTAGCCGCTGCCTATGCCAGATTCAGCAGTGCTTGTTTTTGATTCAGGAGCGGGGACGCACCAAGGAATGTACAAGGGTCCGAGCCTTGGTCGGGAGGATAATGACACTGTCCCCTGCAATGTATGCGATGGGAATGAGATGGCGGAGACATCTACTGCGTACCATATACCGAGCTACAGGTGCAAGAGACTACTCAGTAAGGCAGGTGGTATAGCTGAATATGGATGGACAAACTTGATCCATACCGTCTCCGTGCGGGGCGATGACTCGCACTACGTCGATTCCTGGCAAGGACGGAAGAGAGATCGTGGTTAGGAGATTGAAAAGCAGAGCCAACGACAAGCAGGCAATCCCCGAGATGTAGAATATTTGAGGCATCTTCAAATGCGCGGCGGAACGTGAGGAAGCCTGCAGGATCGACTGGCTGTTTATTTATTTTACTCCTCGCACAGCCCAGGGTCGCCGGGCAGAGGTTTAAAGCGGAACAGATGTGATCGAGCGGCGGCGTTCGTCTCGAGCGCTGTCAGTAGTCCAATCTAGGACACACCGCCTCGCCAAACTCAGGTTTGAATGCAGTTGCGGTTGATCGCCGTGGGGAGGACTGCCTCCCATGAGAAGGGGATGGATGTGCATTCAAGTTCATCTTGAAAGACCACGCGTAGATTCGCGTATACGTATCTGAAGGCTACAACTGGCTTTCGAACGGCGTAAACTGGCAAGCAGGGGAGTTGAACGAAGGGCGAACGGCTGTCCGGTTCCAAGATAGTACTCAATTCCCGAACAAGCGGGGAACTGGCGGAATCGAATGCGATGGTTACGACGCACCGCGAAACCCATCACATACTACCAGCGATTGATGCACTCAGCTGGACCTAGAATTGGATACCCGGAACACCGCGTAGAAGAGAGTGCTCATTCGGAAACGGATCGTCCTGGATTAAAAATTGAGTCTCAGTCCGACGGTATAATTGCACGGCTGTGTGATGATACAGGGTGCAGTATATGAATATATATGCGGACCACCAGGATCCCCGCCTCTATATATCGGAGTTTCCGTTCAAGCGGGAGTACGCTCTGATTCCGAGGAGGAGGAGGAGCGAGCGAGGGCGGCCCGGAGGGCCGAGCGAG